TATCTTGTGTCAATGTCAACAGGTCTGCAAAGTCTGTGATGGCCATTGGGCAATATCAGAGATGATAGATGAACGTTTGTAGTGATTATAAATTTTAAACAGTAGTTTTCCAACCATGACTTGTAAATGAAGATGAGGAGGATGCGGGATATATGGGGTAAAGAAGTGGGAATGTGGGATATAGGGAATACAAAAAAGTTATCCTTGCGTGTGACGTAGTATCCTGGCCGTGATTTGTGTAGCACTGTCATTGGGTTTAGATACGATAATAAAATTATATTTTGATTCGGCATTTATAAAACTATATACAACACAAGCTGGATAGAGCTTTTGACCGAATATAAAAACATATACATAACACAAAAACAATAAAAACGACATGCATTACATACACAAAATTTGGCATTCATATGTGAAAGACTTGGTTTAACATGTTTAAGCAAATTTGAAGTATGATAAAAGTGTATCCTACTGAGAAATTTGGACTAAGCACTAAAAAAATAGAATATAGATAAGAATCATGATAAAATTTGATATTTAAAAACAAAAAAAATCATTAATTAGCACTAAAAAATAAGTGTACATGAGCAACTTTAAACACTAATGAAAATCTAAAATTGAAGATCTGTGTGATAATTAAAAACTAAATAAAATGAAGCATAATCATTTAACTGTAAACAAAGCGTCTGAAGCAAGTAAAAATAAAAATATATTTAGAGAAGCCAGACCACAAATTTGTAAACTTTGAAAATAATGTTATGCTGAACATAGATCTAAGCGGGGACCCACGTGACAATCGTCTCTCTGAGTCGCCGCTTGATTAACTATACACAGAAAACCAGAATGGACAGTGTGACAGGAAGCAAACATATAAGCAGAGTTAAACTGCAGGCTGAACAACGACAGTTCGATCCATTCCATGACTGAAGCAAATTCTTAAAATGAGAAAAAAACTATTTTCAGTCCTGAAATGGTTTGGCAAGCTATTCCAGAGTGAAAGGGCTGCATATTTAAAGGACCTCTTACCGTTTGTACTAGGTCTTATTTGTGGTATGTCCAGGATGATATATATACCTAAAATTATATTTTTTAGTCTTTTAGATTGACTATGTCTCTCAAACACACTGAAGCCTAATCGTTAAGGATATTTTAGATCTCAGGTGATATTGTCCTGATTATTCTCACCTGCAGATTTGTATCCTTTACCACATCCAAAGGAGTTTCATATGACGAGGTATAATCCTCACATACAAATGGAGTGCTCTCTCCTGCACCTGTTCTAACTTCTTGGAGTTAGTATCCGTGCAGAAGTGTCACGCTAGAGGACAAAAATTAAAGTTATCTAAAATCAAAGTATGAAATGTTGTCAGTTTATTTAGCATCGATAACAGAGACCCAAGTCGTTTAAGTATATTCAGTTGCACAAGACGCTGACATAGGCATCACATTTCAGTTGATAATCGATATCAATACCAAGCAGCTTGACAGTTTCATCACAAGAAAGAACACTTCCTTGCATTTGAATGCTAGGATTTTTGGCAAAGGTTTTCCTTCCGACGGCAATAACCTAAAATTTATCTGGATTGGCCTGCTCTTTGTTTACCTTGAACCAGCCAATAAGCACTCGAGACTCAGATTCCAGCGTTGATATAAGTGAATTGTTATCTAGACTGCTGAAAGACACGGTTATATCATCAGCATAGTTATATTTAGAACTCTGTTTAACAAAGTGAAAATGTCATTCATAAAAACATTAAATAACAGAAGGCCCAGAAACGTTTCTGGATGTCAGCCCAATTAACTACCGGTATTTAGAACACCATTTACTTTGATTTGTTGTTTTCTGTTAGAAATATATGAATGTGTAGATACATCATAAGCTAGTAATTTGTCCAGTAAAATATCGTGAGGTAAACAATCAAATGCCTTTGGAAGGTCCATGGGTACAGCTGCAACGAAATGGTTTTTGCCTATAGCTTGGCGCCAGTCTTCTAGTAATCTGAGCAGTGTGGTCTGACATCCGTGACCCCTCCTGAAAGCACATAAATATGGATTAAATATTGAATAAAAAAATCGTACAACTGTACCTCAAAAACTTGTTCATAACACTTACAGGGCGATAATAAGATTGTAAAAGAGGATCACTCTTTTCATGCAGCGGTGAAACTTGAGTTTTTTTAGTCTATTTGGGAAAACACCTGTATCAACAGACAAGTTTATAAGCCGTGTTGACTGAGGTACAATCTCAGATTTACTAGCTCTTCCTTCCATTTTTTGCTGGTTTGCCGTCTGTACCCGTTGCCTTTAAGATGTTGGTATTATTCACATTTTTTTTCCAATTCTATCCGACGCCTCCCTTTGAAAACTGAAGTTTGAATCTGATGTCTGATTTACTCCAATATTTTTCTTTCTCTCTTAAATACTAGGATGACTTGAAGGGCTATATTGTACATCATTTCCTACCTTCCCAGCAACAGAAACAAAAAGATCATTAAAATATTTGAAACTGCTACAGAATCATTTATGATTCTGCTTTCATCACACAAAACAACTTTTTGATTCCCATGCAGATTTACACTACTTTGAAAAAAAGATTTGACAGTCTTCCAAAAGTGTGCATGTTTTGTCCCACTAGAGCAGCGTTCTAATAAAATGAGTTTTCTTTGATTGTTTTTTTTCCCTCAATTTTATTAACTTAATTTCTCTGCTGTCTGTATTTATTTCAATTTTTATCATTTGTATTTTTTGTAAACTGAGACTACAGCATTATGTTTTCTATATGTATAGCCTTCCTCAATTAACCATTTATTCATGGCAAATTATGCTTCCTCTGGTTTCTAGATTTCAGTGGTGCATGTTTATCCAAAACATTAATAAAATCTTCTTCATATTTCAGATAGATATTATTTACTGCTCAGCACACTTTTCCTCTTCGGTTTCATTAATCTCAATTTTTCACGTAAGTTCTTCACGTTTATCAATTTGAGTTGTCTTTCTTCGACTAGTCACCAAGTTCACAATATTAGTACTTTGCTGGGCACTGAAGTAAATAGTTTCATGTGTAAGTCGCTGTGCAAAGAATTTCTACTTATTTTGAATGTACGGTTAAAGTTTACCTTCGAAGTGCAGAGACGAATTCTTAGGAATAATTGGAATATTAAACTAATCCTCCAACCCAAATCCCCGGCAATAGTTTTCATTCTCTTTTTTCTACCTTAAAGATGGATATAGATGAGATTTGAGCAGCTTTCATTTACTTTTTACTTTTATTTTCAAGAATGTAATCAAGCTTATTATAAGATTTAAACTGTAACAAGCTATGTTTTTGCCATACAGTTAAACAAGTAGTTATAGTTATTACTGATGATCTTAATTTAACAAAATTAAACCTGCATAGTGATAAAAAAAATAGATGAATTAGCACATTATCTACTCATGAAGACTATTTTCTAATAAAAAATAATACCTTTTTTTTTATTAATCCACTCGAGTGCTTTTGGGCATGGGAATTGTTTTATAGATATTTTTAATATTAAATTATTTATTCTGTTTAGCTTTTTCCCTATATTTTACGTATGCTTGCAGCAATGCTTATATCTACACGACCTTGTTGTGGAAACAGTTTATTATGATCTATTATGTAACGCCCCCATACTCTTATTTTCCGAGAATATACCAACACATAGTTTATAAACGCTGCATGGTCGGTATAAAAGGAATCCTAAGAAACGAAAGAATATGCAAAAATCCATTTTTTTTAAGTGAAATTGAAGATGAGGAGTATTTTCGTATCAAGTGTGACAAATTCAGAAGCGAGAGAGAGGGGTTGGTTGGAGTTGTTAAATTGAGTTTGTTGTGTTTCATCAAAGTAATAAATGTCAACATTGTATACATGTGATAAAAATTGAGAGATTATTTTAGACGATGGAGAGCTGTCTCATTGGCAAGACATATAATACGAACTATATGTCTCTCTGTATATGCCAAGTCTTCTTATTTGTATATCAAATTCAGTGACAACTTTTACTTGTCTATTTGATATCTATTTTAAAACAATCTTGGACTGTGTAGTGACGGCCCGGGTTACGTGCACCTTTTTCTTTCCTGATTTTCTTTTAATTTTCTTTTTGTTGCGTCACATCAGACATATAATATGTATTATATGTCAGGCTGTGGCTCCGGACTCTGGTCACGTACGTATGGGCCTAAATCGAACGGGGAAAATGTGATAAGCAAGCGCGGAGAATCAATTTTGATAAGATTGATTCCTTTCATAGAAGCACACTCTATTTCCTTAGATAAACCAGACATATATCATATTGTATTTCATATATCTGGACAAATACACATATGCACGTCGTTGATTCTGTAACACCAAATTTTTTACAGTCCCTCTCTCTCCGATACTTTGCGGTTTATCATGCACTTTTCTTGTTTATTTTTCTTTGCAAGTATGCAAACTTGCAAGCGTAGAGGAGGAAGGTTCAAAATGAAACATTTTTCAGTAATGAAGCAAGACCTGAAAATTGCGCCTCGGAGCTGGGATTATTATACTATTATATATGTTCGTATAATAGTCCCAGCTCGGAGAAACCATACAATATCTTTTGAATTCTTTAAAAATGCATTGACTGTATAGTACACGAGGAATTTAGAAAAGATACGATTTTTTTTATTCATATAATTCGATTCATTGCAAACTTAAAATGGTCTAAAACCAAATTAAATAAACCAAAAAATCAGTGAACGTCTTTCTCACTGCTTTTTCTCTATTTAAATTCTTCTGAGTCTCGGTGTAAGTATTTTTCTTTTCAGTATTGTTACGTGAATAAATTAATTTCTAGTATACTATTTTTAGATCTTATAGTACCCATAACACACATGCATTTTATCAATTAGTCAACAAGTTGTAAAATAATATTGCCGAATAAATTATTGTTCACCATGCGACAAGTGACGAGAATCTATTTCCGTCCTCGTGCACACGTGCTAAGGTCAATCCCGTCATGCATTTATCAACATGGAGATGAACGAGGTGGTCGCGATCGTTACTGCATACCTATGCTTATGAAAACTACAACACACATGACCGGGATATTGAAAAGGGATTGTAAAAATGCCCAAGATATCAAGAAGAAAGCAGTCAAAACCTCAGCACATATGTGGTAAGTAGGAAAACATGGGATTTTTGTCTAAATTTGTATATTTTGCTGGGCGTGAACAGCCTGCATGCACATACATCACGCGTGCGCACGTGACGTTTCATCGACTTAAAGCTTCTACAATGCATAATGTTTTATTGATTTTTAGCAACCTCGAGTATTGATTAACTGCTACAGCAGTCGCTGGCTAGAAACATCAGTTTATTATTTATTATTTTGAAGAAGTACGTGTTGCGTTTGTAAGGATCGTCCGCTATATTTACAAATCGGTAAATAGGTCAAATATGTCAGCTGACCAGGTTTACCTGTAGAATTGTTGACATACACACTCACCTGTATGATTTGAAACGTGCATGCACAAGCATAAGTTCGTGATAGGAACTGGCAACAGTTCAAATTTATTGCATGAAGATTCATAATTTTAATGAATAATTTCAATAAATAAACTGTCTACTTTCACTTTCTATAAATACGTTTGTATAAAAATAGTAATGTAACATTTTACAGTTCAATTTATAACTGTATTCTGAGAATATTATTAATATGACTTTAAAATCAAAATAATTTATATGGATAGATTATGCGAAATAAAAAGATATGTTCGGAATGAAGAAATGGACATTTTTATTAAAAAAAGTGAGAAAAAAAAAAAATTTACATTTTGATTGTAGATGAATCATTTTATTTAAATTGACACAGATGTATTCAAATTATCAAATGGAAGTACATTTTTGATTTTGAAAGAACTATTGAAAAAGAATTGATTTAACATACTGGAAATGTCCATTCGAGAGATATTTTGTGACATGCAGAGCCTGCCCCCAGGTGTAGCCAACCTCTTGTAGCTTGCCTACAATAGTTACCATGGTGGTCACTGGTACAAGATCAGTATGTTTTTCTCATACTGTTGGTGTCATATTGAAAGCTGGTGTACTTCCATTTAGTATTCTTAGTACGTGGCCTAGCCATTTAGAATGTTGTTGTTGTTCTCATCTATGATGTTCTGACAGTTACACTGGCCTCTTTTATGTTGATTTTTTGTATTGCTGATTTCATTTGGCGTAAATTTTTTGTGAATTGCGAAGACAGTTGTTGTCTAAAGATTTCTTCCGTTTGTATGTCGCGATGTTTAATTCACTGGCATTCTGATCCATACAACATGTACAAAGAGGACTGGTTTTACATTGCTGGTGAATAGTTTTAGCTTGGGGTTAATGTTGACGTTTTAGACTTCCAGATGGGACTGTAGTCTTGCAAATGCTGAGCCTGCATTTAAAGTGGTTTGGATGTCTTTCTTAGCTCAATTATCAGTACTGATTATGCTCACAAGGTAATAGGATCTTGTAATGAGGCCTTTTATAGCTTGCTATACAATAATTGTTTTGCTTATTGTTGAAGCCTGTAAAATGACCTGTAGTTGTTTACATTCTTGACTTTTGGTCTGACTGCCAATGGTGAATATTTTTTCTCATTGTCAGTCTTACCACGTCTTCTAATTTTCATATTTTTATGCCCCAACTACGATAGTAGAGGGGCATTATGTTTTTCGGTATGTGCGTCTGTTTGTCCGTCTGTCCTGCTTCAGGTTAAAGTTTTTGGTCAAGGTAGTTTATGATGAAGTTGAAGTCCAATCAACTTGAAACTTTGTACACATGTTCCCTATGATATGATCTTTCTAATTTTAATGTCAAATTAGAGTTTTGACCCCAATTTTACGGTCCACTGAACATAGAAAATGATAGTGCGAGTGGGGCATCTGTGTACTATGGACACGTTCTTGTTATGCATTATATTTGAAACTACCTGTATGACATGCTAGTGTGTGGAATCAGCTGGAAAATTCAAATTTGGATTAGTAATTAAGTTTTTGTCTTGCCTTGATAGAGTAAAAAAGCTAGAGAGAGAATTAGTTACATGTAAGTTGTTTCCAGCAGTGTCTGCAAGCATCAACAATTTGTTTAAGTTTGTAATTATTTCAGTTTAAGGGGAACCAGTCCCAACCACTAATAATGAATCAATAATATTTGGTTTGCAGTTATATAAGCAAATAGCACCTTTCATTTTCATGGAGATAATTTTGCCCTGCCCCTCAGTCATGGTTTATTGACTTTGAAACTATTGCATAGTTTACATGTTAAAGTTTGATTAGGTCAGTTTAAGGGGAACCACTTATGATAAGTCAATGATATTCCTTTTGAAGTTGCGTTAACATTGGCATATCTTGTATCCTAGTAATTATTAGGGCCCCTGCCGAATGGCGTCCGCCCTATAGTGATCTGTCTGTCCATCCGTCCGTAACAAATCGTGTCCGCTCTATATCTAGAGAACCGTTATGATTTCAAAGTTTATACTTGACATGTATATTAACCAACACCAGAGGGTGTGTCATAATGTATGTTCAACTTCCTAGGTCAAAGATCAAGGTCAAAAACTTTGGTTTTAGTTGACAACCCCATGTCCTATGGTAAAGATCGTGTCCGCTCTATATCTTGAGAACCGTTATGATTTCAAAGTTTATACTTGATATGTATATTAACCAACACCAGAGGGTGTGTCATAATGTATGTACAACTTCCTAGGTCAAAGGTCAAGGTCAAATACTTTGGTTTCATTTGACAACCCCATGTCCAATGATAAAGATACAATTTTTTTACCACACATTATTCACAGTGGGGCCCACAGAGATGGCTCCCATCTCAATGATATTTAGTTTGGCCCTGTTGAGTGTTTCTTCAGTCATGGTTCATTGACGTTGAGTATTTTGCATAATTTACATGTTAAAGAATTGATATTTTAATTTCAACATTTTCATTATAATACTATCAAAATTACATCCAGTATTTGCCTGCCATAATTTTGTCCTTCATTTGTATTACTATTAGCTTAAATAAGGCATTAGATTTTTCCATTTTAGTTGTTTTACATTTTATAGGGTCTTTTAATTTAAATTTAGATACATGCACAGCACTTTGTGTTTTGTTCATTGTTGAAGGCTGTAAAATGGCCTGTAGTTGTTAGCATCCTTCTTGTTTGGTCTGACTGTTTATGGTGGACAAGTTTTCTCATCATCACTGTATGCTATGCTAGTGTGTGGAACTAGCTGAAATTTGGATTAGATTTTAATTTATATGCAAATAATGTAGGATTTTAGTAACACTTTTCCTTAAAACATATACGTTAAAAAATAACAATTTATAGAGTTTTTTACTTTATAAATGGATTATCGAAAATTAAACAACCTATAATCGAAACATCACTAGTACTACATGTATAACATGCCAATATGGTGAAGATTGATTATTCTCAATGGTCATGTTATAACTTAACCAATGATGTAATGATTTCCTGCAGATGGACACCTGTTGAAAATCTCACAATAAACTGGAGTACAAAGAGTAATTCATTATAGGACTTTAGTTATTTAATAAATCATAAGGGCAGAAAATTAGAAGACCTAAAACCAGCTAGAATGTATCAGTGAACAGTGAACTCCTACTCGCACAATTAATACATTTGCATATCCAATATACATTATTTTCTTTTTCAAGGAAAGGAAGAAATGCAACCTTTCCCTAGAAAATATGAGTTGCTTTACTTCTTTTGTAATACACTTCTAGAACGGTTTTTTTTTATTTCCTTTCCTTGCAGGCTTGTCCTAATTTCCATACCCGATTGTTTCAAATATAAACTTTTAAATATTATTATAAATTGTTGCTTTTTAACTTTTTTGGGGGAAAACCATTCACCACATATCATGCCTTTAAGTTTACACACATTGATGGCTATCATATTATTTTGGTTTCACCTGTAGGTTAGATATCAGTAGTGATCTTTAGAACTTTACAGGTATGCATATTATGTGAACAGGCATGGTTAAATTTCCCATGAATTAGTATGTCATACTAATGGAATGAAGATTGTTTCTTCATAACTTTTCAAGCAGAAAAAGTTTTGTAAGCATGCAGATCATTAGTTTTGATGTCATGATTTGGCAGCACTCTGTTTTGGGATAATTTTTTCAGTGACTTTCTGTGTTAAAAATTATTATTATAATCATAAAAAGGCGTCTCATATTACCTGATGATTTTCTTATCCTCCTGGAGCACATGCGATCATTCCAGTTTTTGTTTGTGTTGCTCAGTCTTTACTTTTCTATATAGAGTTTTGTTGATTGTAGTCTTTTCTGTGTATTTCTTTTTTGCCAATGTGTTGTCTATTCTTCTTTTCTTTGTTATTGTTTGTTGTCCCTTTAATTTCTTATGTTTCTTTTTTGTTAAGATACATTTGTACTAGTTATTTTGGAATCTTAAACAGCATTCTCAAAAAGTGGTGGTCCGAAAGTTTTTGACCACCAAAATTTTTCAAAGAACAGACACAATTTGAGCATTTTGCAATAGAAATAATAGTGGGGACCAGAAGATTTTCTTCAAGGACCACCAGGTAAAAAAAGATTTTGAGGACTCTTGTCTTAAAGAATTCACTGGTTTATTGAAAATAACTAATATCTAATACGTGAATTAATAAAATGTTGACCAAATACAAACAAATTGTCTGTACATGGATGTAAGGAGATGTAGATAAATGTTAGAGAGACAGCAACAACAACCCAATAAGGCAGGTTCAATACATATAAAGAGACTTAATTTTATATTGAAATAGATGTGCAATGTGTGCAGTCGTGATGTTTTTCTCTCAGATTTCCGAAATGGAACAGTGCTTTTGAAGTTAAAGGAGTATATGCACCAATTTTAAACGAACACACAACCACTCAGAGCATATGTATAGAATGGTATTTCAAACTTAAAGAGACAAAAATATAACCTGTAGTGAACATTATAAACACCTGAATTAAGCTCTAATTATAAAAAGAACCATAGTGAACAACATCAGAAAAAGGTGTGTCACAATAAAAGAAGGACAAGGGGTAGCATATAATACCAATCATGAATTAGTGCTTAATCATGTTAATGGACAACTACATTAGATGAAACCCTGACTTATGT